TTTCGTTTACCAAATCCAAAATGCCTCAAAGCGTTAATCGTAAAAGTTCTTTGAGCTTTCCATAAAGCACCATTCGAGGCAGCAATCCCTATATAGAAGAGATTTGATTGCTAGCCTTTTGGTATACTATTTATTAATCTTATTGTTATATATGCATGCAAATACTAGCTAGAAGTAACAAATATAAATATAAACAATTACACAATAGAATTGAATACATAAAATCAAAACGAATTAGAAAAAAACATGTCATAAAGCTCATATAATAAATTCATTCATTCATCACTATGACATGGTATTAAATTGGTCGATACATACATTTTATCATTCCGCAAGGTCATGTTTTCTAAGACTGTTGATAACGTATTTACACTAAACCCATTTGATACTAGTTGATGCTTTAATCAGGATATTACAACGTAATTGTAATTGACTTTGAACTAACTTTCAGTAACTGCGAGAATTCGTTACTTTTTAGTCTGTTTGTGCTTTGTGTCGATCAGTTGAGTCAATCCTTTTTCAACTGATTGTAATAGTTTGTTCTTATGTTATGCTGTTATATACACCATTGTCCCAGATTAGAGGACGGCTGGGCACTCACAATCACGTTGGAACCCACATCATTCTGCATTTGCCTGTCCCAAGTCAGGATACTGTAATTCAGTGGTTGCTGTTGGTTACTGTCTATCATATGCTTTACGTTTATTATTTTGAACATAAACCCATCCCTTTTAGTTAGCTTTAAAAGTCCTCGGTAGGATAAAATGTAAAACAATTCAAACGAAAACAACCAACATCGGCCTGATTTAGGACAAAACAATAAACGTAAAACAAATATGAAAGACAGACTACAACCATTGAATAACTGCAGGCTCCTGAAATGGGACAAGCACATCTAGACTGTTTTGACTGTATTGTTTTGGCCTTTTCAATTTAAAAAAAAAAACATTTATTTGTTTGGATTTTAAAATGTTTGGTCTCGAGCGTACATAACACAAGTTATTCTAGAACCACGTGTCGTGCACGCGCACGAAACATGGTGTCACATCTTTTGATATTGGTGTTCAGGTGTCTGCCCCGGAGGGATGTCAGGTCATAAGTTGAAGATAAAATAAAACTGACCTTTGCCGCCCTGAATTTTCGTGAAGAAAAAAACATCTGGCCGATCAGAAAATATATCTGCATGTTTAACAAAGGCTTCGTGGAGTGTGTGTGTATCATTGATAAAAACAGCCCAATATGGTCCTAATGACAGGCTGTAAATCCGTCCATACTTTTGTGATAGTTGTCTTGTTATTGTTAATAAGTTTCCTCCAAATAAACACAACAAATTCCCAATTAAGGGCAGCGGTGTTGGCCCTGGTGGTAAGTCCGACGGACGACGAGACCGTTTCCATAAAAATATGGCTGTCAATATAAAAAGAAAAACTAGAAGAATCCATCTATCGGTTAGTTTTACAGCAATGTCATCCATAACCTTGAGTATTTGTATTTATATAGATGTAAACTTGTGGTTATAACATAGGTAAACTTAGGTTGTAGGGTTAAATTTTGACAACCTTTTCACCTGCCAAATCATAGTGTATCGGTCATTCACCAAGTGCAAGGCGTATATTATATTTACAAAAGTTGTATGAAATAATTATCAATTGCCATTAGTAGTTGCACAATTCTGTATTTACGATATTCAGAAAAAAAAAAAAAAAAAAAAGAAAAGCCTAAGGTGTATAAATACATGGAAAGCTTCACCAAATAAAAAGACCAGAAAAAGAAAAGTGATGTCAATATTGAAAGTTACAAACAACTCTATATCACCTTAGAATGAATAGAAATTTACATGATACGTCCTTGTCACTTCCGAAAAATTAATCATAGGACGATTAATGTTGACAAAATACAGATGAAAGATATTTTAACCTTTTAATCTTTCTATATAATTACAATATGTAAAATATTTATCAAATTGATTGTTGTTTGTTTAACGTCCAGTGGCAAATATTTCATGCATGTTCAGGACTAAAATATGTTTGTGATTTACAATGTAAATTGAAATAACAGATGTACGGACGATTATGAAACACCTTTCAGTTTCGTCAAGGTCATAACTGAAGTATAGAGGTGAAATAAATTACTGAAAATAGGAAAATGAAGAGGAATTAGGGATATTCGCCACATTTGTTTTTGATTTTTTGACAGATATTTGAAACCCTCTATTTTTATCCATGTAGTGCCAATAGGAATTTCGGCAACTAACCCCTACTTTTCTTCTCATACTTTATTACATATAGTTTTAAAATAGAATTGAGAATGGAAATGAGGAATGTGTCAAGGAGAAAACAACCCGACCAAAGAGCAGAAAACAGCCCAAGGCCACCAATAGGTTTTCAGCACACGAGAAAATCCCGCACCCGGAGGCGGGCTTCATCTGGCCTCTAAACAAAAAATGTGTACTAGTTCAGTGAAAATGGACGTCACACTAAACTCCGAAACATATAAATGAACTAAAATTAAAAAAAAAACATACAAGACTAACAAAGGCCAGAGGCTTCTGACTTGGGACAGGCGCAAAAATGCGGCTGGGTTAAACATGTTTTGTGAGATCTAAACCCTCCCTCTATACCTCTAGCCAATGTAGAATAAACAAACAAACAGCAATACGCACAGTAAACTCAGTTTAAAAGAAGTCTGAGTCCGATGTCAGAATAGGTAACAGAAGAAACTAAGCAAAATAACAACGATACATAAATTAACAAAGGACTACTAGCAGTTACTGACATGCCAGCTCCAGACCTCAATTAAGCTGATTGAAAGATTATGTCTTCGTCATATGAAAATCAAGCACAATCCCTCCCGATAGGGGTTTAGTATCATACCATCATAAAATATATGAGAAGAACATAATCCGAATCTGGCCAACAACTGGTTTTAGAATAAATGTGTTTTATTCTGATGCAAAGACCCTATGAGTGAATCAATATTAATTCCAAAATATGCCATCTTTGATGACCTGACAACATTAACGTAACTATATCCCTTCTGAATAAGTCTGGTTAAAGGTTTAGTTAGCTTTTGAGGCGAATGACGACATGTTTGTGCTTTGTATAGAATATTACCATAAAAGATTAGATGTGACATACCTGAACGTATAAGATGTCTGTATGTTGATTTATATTTACGAATGATGTCCTTGTACCGATTATAATATTTAGTAACTGTTTTGACTAGTTTGTGATATCGAAAACCCTGGTGTAATAATTTTTCAGTAATACAGATATTTCTTTCGTTAAAATCAAATACGGTGCTACATACACGAGCGAATTAAACAAATTGAGATATATAAACACCATTAGATGGTGACAAGGGAACGTCACCATCTAAAAGTGGATAATTAACAATAGGAAATGAAAAATCATCTCTTTTATCGTAAATTTTTGTATTACGCATCCCGTTAAAGATATAGATATCAAGATCCAGGAAAGGGCAGTGTTCATTGTTAGTATTGGCTTTATTTAAAGTCAGTTCAGCAGAATAAATCTCTTTTGTGTACATACTGAAGTCGTCATTATAGAGAGCCAATATATCATCCAAATATCTAAAAGTGTTATTAAATTTTTGTATCAGATGTTGTTTCGATGAACCTTTGCTGATTTTAGTCATAAATTGTAACTCATAACAATACAAAAACAGGTCCACAATAAGTGGTGCACAATTAGTCCCCATTGAAATTCCGATAACTTGACGATATACGGAATCTCCATAGCGAACAAAAATGTTTTCTAGTAAAAATTCAAGGGCAGTTATCGTATCATAGCAGGTCCAATTGACATAGTTCTTTTGTTTGTTGTTACTAAAAAATGACCTAAAAGAGTACGAACATATATATTCGCATTTTGACTTTTTAAATGCCCATTTTATTAGATATGTGAATTTTTTCTTAATGAGATTATGAGGCAAAGTGGTATATAGGGTAAAAAAATCAAAACTTTGAACAGATTCGAAATCACCAATATAAGCATGCAATTTATCAAGTACTTCCAACGAATTTTTGACACTCCAAAAGTAATTAATTCCAATATTTTCAAATCCCTTATTGAACAATTTATTACCAGTTTTTTATTGTACCAAGTGTAGTAGTAAGTAGAATATACAGATTAGTAGCGGAACAATGGTTTGAAGACAAAATAAATCTATACTTGTAAGGTGTTTTGTGCGGTTTCGGAAGCAAGTACATAGTTGAAACTTTCATTGTATTTGGTTATGCTTGTAAAGAGGTAGCTAAAAGTTTATGTTTGTTACAGATGTCATTTTCCAAAAATGATATTATTGGCGGCCTTATCAGCCGCTACAAAAACAAATTCCTTGGCGAGTTCTTTTAGCTTATGTTTGATACGAGAAATAGGGCTAATATGGATGTTGTTATAGGAGTAAAATAATCTTTAAAATGTTTAATACGAATATCAATTATGTTCATTACTGAATTAAAAAAAAAAAAAGAATCAAAGGATTTTTCGTCAGCTTTTTCTCGTTTTATCCATTTCGTGCAGTAAGTACGGAGTGAGTCGTGGATGATGTTACGACACTCATTCAAATTAATAATTGTTCTGTCTATGAAGAAATAATATCGAAAATGTGGTGCACCACATTTTTATGGTAATTTGGAATGGACAGAAAAATATAACAGTCATTCCCAATAATTTAATTCTAAACTCCATTTTTACGGAGTAAATGATAAAAAAAAACGTTGATAACGTCATGGTCACATGACAAAATTATGTTTATGAGCTGCTTGACAAAAAAAAAACTTTCAGCCAATCAGAAGACGTGTTACATCCAAAATTAAATTATACTGAAATGGTACTTAAATTTATTTACATAATATAAATACATAAAATAAAACAGAAACTTGTAGCAGTATCTATGAAAATTTTAGATCAAATTTCCCTACTCATATAATTGCAAACTGAAATCAATTACCCAAAGACAACAACAATGACAATACACATATTTATATTTTGTTTTATTAATCCAAGATTTCATATACAAACGAGAAAAAAAGTGTTTTAATCTTATCAGAAAATTTGGTTTCAATATGTACACTCATTCCTTTATCAATTATGTAATACGCATAATGTAAGGACTGAGGTCACAAATTTAGTAATAGGTCAGCGTTAGAATTTTAATTTCTTAGGATCTAAATTTCATCTTCAGTTTAAGTCTTTATGTATGTACATTAAGGAATGTCTTTTACCGTACCAATTTATTTTTATTCTCAGCGATTAAATAATGGAAATTGTCGCCGATATCCTGTCTTTTATTACCAATCAACAAATCGTACAGAGTAGGGTGTCGGCGAATGCGTTGTTCCTACTTTTCCGTCTACCTTGGGCGGTAGTTGTCCTACTGGCATGATTTTGTATCGAGTTACTATTGCTGTCAAATATAAAAACAACTCCATCCTCGCTAGAGACTCACCTAGACAAACCCGTCTACCTGTCGGGATAAACATGATCAATAAAACTTTTGTATAGCTATAGATAATACAAATATTTCTCATTGAACTTTATGAAGTTTGATTGATACTTTATATTTGATTGTAGCCCTACGAAATTTGACCAAACAATAGTTTTTTTTAAGATAATTGCGCACTCTCCGGTCATTGAGACCTTATCCAATGATAACAATGATAGCTTGGTAGCGTCAACAAAACGACATAAAATGTTGAATTCCTGTATATATAAGGTATGACTTTACACCGAGTCATAATGCTGCCATTAAAAACAGTTCCATCCAAGGTAGAACCTCACCAACAATTTGTTTAATAAAAACAATTCTGTTTTTTAATCATTTTTGTATAATTTGTTTATTCCTCCGTACGTGTAATATTTTTTGCAAATTATAGATATTGATTTGACGTTGGAGATCGTCTTGGTCTTCCTCGAAAGAGCCAGCAAAAACTACAATATTTCTCCAGAACAACACAAATAAATGTTCTATTCAAAGGAAGTAACTTAGTAACTTTTAACATTGCTTTGTTGCCAAATGTAATTGTTGTCGTCTATATACATTCACGTCACTCCCTTTGTCCACTTGCAAATATTACATGCATTTCATGCCTTGTTCACACGTACATTTTAGTTGCGTTCACACATTTTTCTTTTTTTTAATTCGAATCGAATTCCAATTGGCTAATTCGCATTATCCAATTCGCATTAGGAATGCGTTTTCGTTAATGCGGATTAGTTAATTCGCTTCAATTCGAATTAAACTGTGTTGTGGACACTTTCTAAATTGTACTTAGAATATTTTCATTATTTCTTGATTCTTTAAAATTAAAACAACGTAACACTAATAATTCGTGTCCGCGAAAATATCATACGTGAAAACCATAATGACGTCATATGCAACGTCATTACTGCCTCACGAACATTTCAACATTTGTATGTAAACAGACAGTGCACAATGATCAAAATTTGCCCAAAATACAAACATGTTAGACATTAAAATTTAGAGTCAACAAATCTAATGAATCATTATCGTTAGCTTGGTAAGATATTCATTTTTAAAGTTTCTGAAAAGTACTATATGAATATCAATTCAGTTGATATTGAGCGCTATCGAGAAAGAGCAAAATTCAACATTTTACTAACAAAAGTCACTTAAAAGAGCTCCGTGTGACATCAAGTATGTATTGATCGATCAACGCCATACAATCATTTTACAAAAATTTCGTGGAAAGTGTGTTAAATGTTTCAATTCAGTTCAAACAGCTAACCAGGGGAGAGTATTAAACCATCTCCGTTACGTTGTTGTTTTTTGTAAGGAGGTGGGAGTTACTTTGGGTACTTTTATATAAACATCTATATTTCAGGCTGACAGAATCACAACGTTAAGAATATTACAGCCTTTTGAGATCCTGCCTTTTTATTTCAAATTTCAAAATTATTGAAATGAGATAGGAAAATTATTCCAATAAATGCCATATCAGATCAAGAGAGCATGTTTGGGCTTTTAAATGGTTGTTTTGTTTTAATTTTAATTAATATGTTGATAATGCGAATTAATTAAAAGTTAACACAGTAAAGCGAATTTGACGCGCATTGTAATTCGTATTAATATTATTTACGTTCGGACGAAAAACATTTCAAATGCTAAATAAACTAATTCGAATTAGCTAATGCAAATCGAATTCGAATAACGTGTGAACTCAGCATCAGGTAGAGAACATGTTAATGTGATATTAACATCAACCCTGTTTTGTATTAGAATGACACGATTAGCTGAATTTTTAACGTGTTAGTTCTCAGAATAATTATCTGCAGAAACACATGTCCAGTGTCGTTATTTAATTGTTTTTTGTATTGTTTTAGAACAAACAATTTTTGATATCGGTTAAGTACTGTCTGTTTCTTTTATAAATTAACACTGACAAAATTGAAAAAAAAATAATAGTAGCACTTAAAAAGACATGCAAAATACAAAACAGTGCTGGCAAAAATCAGTCTTAAAACATAACAAAAAAAAAACCCAGTATACTGTAATGATTGATTGATTGATTGATTGATTGGCGTTCAAATCCCATTTCATCACTATTGTGCATTTGTTGGCGGTTAGTTCTTATTGGTGAAGGAAGCCGGAGTGCCCGGAGAAAACCACCCAACTTTGGCAGGAAAATTAACAATCCTAGTCAATTAAGATTGGCGTCGAGCGCACCTGCCATGTGCAGTGGGATTCAGTATTGAAAGATGGGTCCACTTTTTACCCTTCTATGTAGGAACGAAATCAGCCTTGTTGAGACAAGTTTAAGCAATACGGAAGAAACAGAAAATAACATAACATGTCTTTTATATCACTGTACAATAAATGGTATATGTTTAATAGACCGTAAAATGCACATCAGACTGCAAGTTTAGTCTTAGTATTGTAGTCTTTTGTGTTTTTTCTTTTGTGATATTCAAATAGCTGTTGATTTAGCAACACGATTCCTTCTTTTGCTTTTATTAACACCTTTAAATATTAGCATCATAAATAGCGCATTTTTAATTGGTGTGTTTCATAAGGAAAATCCCCGGTTTTTGAATGATTATGCAATTATGTATTATAAAGAAACATACCAAGGGAAAATGGCATAACATTCTCTCTCCTTTCGTTGAACTTTCCATTTTCATCTAAATACCTGCTTGGATCAAAATCATTGGAATCTAGAAACATATTCTCATCATGGAAGGTTGCGTTCATGTTGGGAACCACAATAGACCCTTTTTGTATTTTGTAATTATTTATCACAAAATCTTCAGTGGCCGTATGAGGGAGTGAAAAGGGTACAATATTACCAAGACGTAATGTCTCGGTTATAACACTCTCACAGTATGGTAGGTTGTTTCTATCGGTAAGCAACGGTTGACGATTGGAACCAACAACTTCCGTCAATTCATTGCGCATCTTCTGTTGAACATCCGGGTTATTAACAAGAAAAATAATTGCCCATAGGATACCGCTTGATGTTGTCTCAGTTCCAGCACCAAACAGATCTAGTACAACGGCCTCTAGGTTGTCCTCTGTATAAATATACATAATAACATATCATTTGTTATGATTGTATTTACAAATGAAATCCCCCACTTCCATTTTAATTTATAATTTGTTTTTAATTTTAAAAGAGACGTGCACTTTGTGTTGAGTTATAGTGGATCTAATCACTCAAACGTTTCACGAAACAAATCAAATTTATATATCTTAATTTTTCGCCAAGATTGTTTAATTGTTATGTGTAAAGATGATGTACTGATGACGGCTGAAATCTAAATTTAATAATATCTTCTTGCAATAAATCAACTTCATGCATGTAGGATATGATAGGAATCACGTTATTGCATGCAATTTACATTTAGTCTTCTTATTTTGACGATGACAGCAAAATTATATAAAGTATTAGCAATAAAAGAAACACGAAGGACTTGCACATTTGTGAAAAAACAAAACTAACTCCAGACTAGAATGTCGACTGTTTGATGAAACAACGAACTTTTTACGGTAATTGTTTTCAGTTAGTTTCGCAAATATGTGCATCATTGAAAGACAATATCGTTTCTATATCAATTTGAATCTACATTCAACTGACAGCTGAATGCTGTTGAAAACTGTTTGGTGTTGCACGATATGTTTTAACTTTAGAAATAAATACTGAACAAGGAATCTAATAGAGTTTCAAAGAGACGCAAGTACTAGTTGTAAAACGAATAGGAAACAGGTTAAGTTAATATACAAGTTAAAGATTTTGCTTCTTATTTTATCATTTTGTTTTATTTAGGTCTTTCCACTTTTCCGTGGAAAGACCTAATGGTTTTCTTCTGATTATTATTATTATTTTTTTTCTTCCGCCTAATTTGTCACTTGCGTAGTTTTGTTGTTTCATAAGATGTCTCTTAGATATTTGGAATATGATATCGTATAGTTTATACGCTTTTAAAACTGACAACCGGGTAACCAAATACCTTACGTTGTAAGAGTTATCTCCCCAAACACTGTTTTCTTGTGGCCACTACTCCTTCGCAACCGTAAAAGATTACAACAAATTTATTTTACCAAATTGCTCGTTACATCTACAGGATTAGGATTTTTATTTTGACCGAAGCTATCCGGAGACTCCATATGAGAGTTATTCCCCCTTATGTATTTGATATAAGTGATATGCGTTTCTAACTGGTAAACCATAAGTGACATTGGCCTAGGGTCTTTGGATTTGAGGTCCTTGGTCCAAAAAAAAGAAAATTAGGTCAAGGTCAAAGGTCAAGGTCATATTCTAAATTTTGATTTTGGCTTATTCTTACTTTTTTTCAAAAACCGTATAACATATCGACATCTTATTTTTACTAAATTGTTAGTTGCGATATGTCGAAACTTATAAATTTTGGTTGAAAGGGTGCGTAGAAAATAAATGGGAGTTTTCGCCCATCTTATATTTAGAATTATGCGTTAAGTGGTATAATTCATTAACCAAACATATTAAAGACCTAGGGTCTTTTGATTTGAGGTCCTTGGTTTGTGACCTTGAAATCGAAGTCAAGGTCATAGGTTGATAGGACGTTCTAGACTTTGACCTTTGCTTTAAATTCATATTTATACATCATAAAGCCATAGGAACTGAAATTTTAGATTTTTAATATTTTAATATCAAAATAGATCTTTACTGGTGAAAAGACCTTCAATTGTTCTGTGAACAATTGATTTTTAATTTCTTTTATGTGTGTTTCTCGAAATGGGATATCACTGATTGGATACCACTAATAAACAAAACAAAAAGGATGTAGTCATGTCAGGTTCAGAAATTTTTGCAAGATGTTCGGATTCCTTGGGGTTTTCCCTACGATACAGGGTAAATTATTTTGCCCCATATCACACACTTTTCTCCTCATAAAAGACTTCAAAAGCTCATAAAAGGATTTGCTACATTTTTCATAGTTTGTGAAAATGTAATCAACGGTATCAATTTTATTTACGAAATCAAGGTATAAGCTTATCATAACCGACTGCTTTTCAGTCCACATCCTTATTTTCCTACATTCGTTGCAGCGCTTTATTCTGAATTCATGATATATTTGTTTAATATGTAAATCGATCATTATCTAGCTAGAACATTAATTTAAACATACCTGAGAATTGTATTTTGTTTTCACGCGTGTGATTTTGCCACTCCAATAGATAAGCGTCTATGAAATCTCGCAAGTCATCTTCGTCAAAAGTACGTTTATGTTCCTCAATAATGTTGGCAATCTGGACTTTTAAGTCTTTAATAATATTGATACATTTTTGTGTCCCAAACACATCGTAAATGTAGCTAACATAATGTAGATACGGAATCCAATTAACCATAGGTAGAAAAGGGTTAGAAAAAAATTCTTCTAAGTCTTTCATAAGTTTCTGAAAAATCTTGTCATCGTAGTTAAATCTCTTGCCAAATACGATGGAACAAACTACATTCGAGACAGCTTCTCTGACATTAGTTTCAATATTAACAGGACTTCCTTTCTTGCTTTCTAAAACTTCCATAAGAAATGCCACCTCTTCGAGAATTTTTGATTCCATATTTCGTTTACCAAATCCAAAATGCCTCAAAGCGTTTATCGTAAAAGTTCTCTGAGCTTTCCATGAAGCACCACTCCGAGCACTAATCCCTACATAGAAGAGATTTCATTGCTAACATTTTTGTATAATATTTTTTAATCTTATTGTCAAATATGCATGCAAATACTAGCTAGAAGTAACAAATATAAATAGAAACAATTGCACAATAGAATCAAAAACATACAATTAAAACAACTTAGAAAACCCATGTCATAAGCTCATATAATAAATTCATTCATTTATCACTATGACATGATATTAGATTGGTCCATACTTCCATTTTATCATTGCACAAGGTCGTGTTTTCTAAGACTGTTGAGGGGCCTGATGGGTTATTTTCGTTCTTCGTGATCGTCGCATTTTCGCTATCGTGATCCGTTTTTCTACAGATTTTTTTTTTATATTTTCGTGATCCGTGATCATGGAAATTTATTTTCTGTGAATCGTGATTGACAAAAATCAACTCGTGAATCGTGATGAGACCCCCCCCCCCCCCCCCATCAGGCCCTCACTGTTTATAACGTATTTACACTTAACCCATGTGATACTGATTGATACTTTAATCAGGATATTTCTTCGTGATCGCAATTGACTTTGAACTAGCTTTCAGTAACTGCGGGAATTCGTTACTTTTATTTTTTAGTCTTCTTGTATCGATCAATTGAGTCAATCGTTTATCAACTGATTGTAACAGTTTTTTCTTATGTTGTGCACCACTTTTCCAGATTGAGGGACGGTTGGGTATCGCAACCTTGTTGAAACTTTCATTCTGCATGTGCCTGACCGAAGTCAGAATACTGTAATTCAATGGTTGCCGTTGGTTGCTGTTTGTCACATGTGTTTTGTTTATTGGTTTGTTCATACACCGATTCCTTATAGTTAGCGGTAACAGTCCCCGTCATGATAAAATGTGAAACAATTCAAACGAAAAAAAAAAACAATCGACCTAATTTATGACAAAACAATAGATATAAAAACAAATATAAAAGACTGCTACAACAACTGAATAACAGGCTCCTGAAAAGGGATAAGCCCATCTAGACCGTTTTGACTGTACTATTTCGACCCTATCAATTTAACAAACATTTATTCTTTTGGATTTCAAAATGTTTGGTCTCGAGCGTACCTAAAGCAGGTTATTCTAGAACCAAGTGTCGTGCACACGCAAAAAAATGGTGTCATATCTTTTGGTTTTAGAGTTCTGGTGTCTTCCCCGGAGGGATGTGAGATACTAGTATATAAAACTAACCTTTGCCGCCCAGAATTTTCGTGAAGAAAAATACATCCGGCCGATCAGTAAATATATCCGCATGTTTAACAAAGGCTTCATGAAGTGTGCGTGTATCATTAATAAAAACAGCCCAATATGGTCCTAATGACAAACTGTACATCCGTCCATACTTTTGTGATAGTTGTCTTGTTATTGTTAAAGTCTCCTCCAAATAAACACAACAAATTCCCAATCAAGGGCAGCGGTGTTGGTCCTGGTGGTAAGTCCGAGGGACGACGAGACCGTTTCCATAAAAATATGGCTGTCAAAATAAAAATAAAAACCAGAAGAATCCATGTATCGGTTAGTTTTACAACAATGTCATCCATAACCTTGAGTGTTTTCATTAGACGTGTTACGAAAAGGTATATACTCGACCCTGGGGTTGACAAATTAGACTTTAAACGTGGGGTCTGTGTCAAAACATTGATTGTCGATTAAAACAGATAAAAATTCAATTTGCTTGATGGTGACCAGATATCCTACACACTTCTTTTGTTCATTTGAATTTATATTGATTAGAAAGATTTTTATATGATATTATTGCTTATGATTATAGGACGGGAAAGGTGTGCGGGGGGAAGGGGGTTAATGGTAATTCAAGTATGCACTTCTAGATTTGACTTAACCTCGTCCTGGAAATGCATGAAATATTTGTCACTGGACATACAACAAACAACAATAAATCGATCTCTACTAAACCCGCACAAAGCTCCACAGTCTGGTCTTGTTGATTTTGAGTTTGAAAGTTTTTAAGCGTATAAAAGCGTGTTCAACATCTACCCAAAATCCCGAACGATAGTAGCAAGTTCACATTTTTTACTTTATATTCCTTCTGCTCTTGGTATACATGTAGCTCTAAGTTTAGGATGCTATAGAAGGTAACGAGAAGAGAACGACATGCGGTATATTTTATTACCCAAAATAACAAAATGCTGGGGGAAATCTAAATCCATACCTGGTCAATTGAAGGCAGTAAATACTGTTGAGCATTATCCTGTTGTCCTATGAAACTACTGCGTGTGAATTTTTCCAAAAATAATGTACATGATTGCTATATAATGTCCATAAAAACATGAGTAAAAATATATGCAATGCCGGTATCTGGGATAAAATTGTGCCCGAGGCTCCGTGTGTGGTCTGTTAATGGCATGACAATTGCTAACGCTGTGGGTATTTAATGCCACCAGCCAAGTAGTTGTCGCAATATTTCTACGGTCGACTATGAAGTAGTTAGTGTATATATTTCACAAAGAACCAGCAACATTTTACATAAAAATAATATAAGGGAAAATAAGCCTTTCCTGAGTAAGCATTAACAGATTATTATACTATAAAATCATTCCCAAGGTCTAATAAGGGCAATCGAGGCTATAGAGGTGTCATGTTGGTCATATACATGATATGAACAATTGCCAAAAATTCAAAGTTTCAAACTCCGAAAAAAAGACAAACTATATCCAAAATAAATCCATAAAATGAGTTGCACATTTTCTATGTATATGAATACCGCGGCATTTTACAAAGTTTAGAAGCTCCTAGGTTAGGAGTTTTGTTACTCAAAATGACGGGTAGCCTCTTCTGCCGATCGCTTGCACGTCCGCGCGCCAGCCAGCTGGACTTTTATCATATTATGAAATAAGTCGGTTCTGCATAGTTTGCAACATGTCCAAAAGTTCTGGCCTCAGGTAAACACACTGTCCGTCGCTGTTGATTTTGAAAACTCCAAAAACTAAAAATAGCGAGTAAATATTAATTTGATTTAAATAAGGGTTGGTGGGAGGGTGCGGGAATTGTTTCTCTCATCTATTACTTCTTTTTATCGGCTTTCCTTCTCTCTTTTTCTTCTGGATTTTATATCCTTTCTGCAATACTCTTGCTTCCTGTCAGTGTTCCAAAAGGAAGAAATATTATGGGAGTCATCATTTTTATTCCTCGAGGGATTTTTGTTATGGACTTTTTGTTCCATTATTAATATTTACAATGAAATGTCCATAATAAAGAGACCAAAGGGACGTCTATTATAAGGAACAAATATACATTGACATCAGTACTATGCAGTTTAAACACAAGATTTCAATTGGAATACAGGTAGTTTAAATTTTTAAATCATTTTTGTGTTTTGATACGATACCCCCATTTAAAGTCTAATTTGTCAACCTCAGCGTCGAGTATATACTATTGCCGAACACGTCTACTTATATGGACCATGTATAGTTGTAAACTTGTGATCATGACAAAGCCAAAGGTAAATTTAGATTGTATTGTTAGATTTTTACACAACTTTTTTACGTGCCAAATCATAGTGTATCGGTCATTTACCATGTGCAAGGCGTATATTATATCTTTAAAAGTTGTATGATATAATTATCCTTTACCATTAATAAATACACAATTCTGTATGTACGATATTCAGAGTAAAAAATAAAGAAAAGCCTAAGGTACATGTATATAAATACATGGACGCTTCACATTAAGATAAAGAGACCCGAAAAAGAAAAGTAATATCAATATTTCCCGAGGAAGTTACAAACAGTTCTTTATCGCCTTAGAATTATTAGAAGTTCACATGATATGTCCTTGTCACTTCAGGAAAATTAATCATAGGACGGATAATGTTGACAAAATACTGTTATGCCGTCCACCCCCCTTTTTGAACGTAACTGGCTGTGTTCTTATTAAGTACAAATAATAATACGGGGTATAGGTCTGTGAGATGATATGATATGCAAATGAGTCTATTTGATATGATGATTGTACTAATATTGATTGTCATGTTGGGAAATAAGGTGTTTCTTTTGGTACAAAATTAATGTTGGCCAGACGAAGTCTGAAAACTTTATGTGGTCATTCCTAAATTTGGAATACTAGTAACTGCTTGATTTGAGTAAAATAATAGTTTGTCACTTAAATATAAATTATCCTGGCTAATTTTCGGATTGATGAGTTAATTCTATTGTGTTACAAGTGGTGTTATGACTGGAATTTTCTCGCGGTGACAAATTTGCAAGTTTGTCCAACGAAGTGCCGGTACCTATATTTCTGTTGTGTTATTTGGGATATTAACCTTTTTACCTGTGTTCTTAAGTTATTCTGCATGTGTAAAAACCTTCGTGATTAATAAATATGTTTGTTCTCATTGAATTTAAACTGGAAATCATCTTTATTTACATCAAACTTCCAATGTTTACATTTTAATTTGCCATTTCGGGAATTTTCCTAAACAGAGAGATGGCTGCTTATTGGTTCAACCTAGGTAAAAGCGTCTGTGATTGGCTGACAGTCGAATAAAACTAAAGAGGTCAGCTACGGAGGGCAGTGATTGTTTGTGGTATGAAACTGAAAGTTACGAAGCGCCAAATTACAAAATGTCCGAGAATTTAAGTCAGATAGCAAAAGTAAGGAAATTGCACCTAGTTTAATATTAAAATTACTATAGCAAATACGCAAATATTTATAAGTATAACGGAGACGAGTTGATAACATTGTCTAGGTGTAAAACTGTTGGGTGACAAACTTGGGTGCAACTATTCGGTGACTTTTCTAGGTGTAAAACTGTTGGGTGACAGGTTTGTGTGCAAATACTTGGTGACAAATTAAGGTTGAATTTCGTTGTGATCGATCTTGGTGCAAATAGTTGGTGACAATTTAAGGTATAAATCGTACCAATATTTTAATTATTAATGGTATAGACGTCTTTGAGACAATAATAGCAAGTAATTTAATGCTGATAGTGATTTGAAATAGATGTGGTTGAAATTAAGGCTACATACGAATTGTATAGGTGTTCTTTTAAGGCACATTTGAAAACCTGTTCGAGCTTTACGCTACCTGTAGTTTGGAAATTACTTGTAGTTAACGGAGTGCTGACTCTAGATTTATATATATAGATAGACATATATATATATATATAAATTAAATAAGTAAGACCAACCATACCGGGGACCTGACCAGACCAATGTCGGAGCCTGTCCAGCCATCTACTCCACGTTTATTATTATAAAATAAATCATCAAAACTGTTATATTTCATGCCTTTTATTTCTCAAGTATACCTAACATATATAGACCTCTAGACTCTAGGTTAAACAAAGCTGTAAAGTGTGTTGGTTCAACGGTACTCCAATTAGACGTCGGCCTTACATTTTACAGTTGTAAATAATACCAGTTTAGAAATCCTTTTTCAATGTAACCTGTGATCCCTGGTTGCCGACTCTAACACCAGGGAGGCAGCGTTATATTTGGTGGCAGCGGTGGGATCCATTTATAGAGTCTGTTAGAGTTTGTACACTTAAACAAATTAACTATAAAACCAAGAATAATACTAGTAATAAAAATGGATGATTCAAACGTTGTTACGTTTGGCCCACATCTCAATGAGATTGGCGATGAAGCAGATGCAACTATGCATGAAAGTTTATAAGAGAAACAAAGTTCTGAAATTTTTAGAACAACGGAGAGAATGCTGGCAGAGGCACGTGCAGAAATGAAACTTCGGATGGACCACTGTTTTTCCGATTTTTCAAAGGATATGAATCAGATATTTGCCAAATTTGAAGGGCAAGCTATGGAAAGTAGATCCACTCCAGTTTTAGGTCGGGGAATTGAAACTCCAGCAAATAATCTGGAACACATAATCAGGCATGACAGAACTGATAAATATAACAGTCATATTCCAGATATCCGACGGTCAAAACCTGATATTTCTTACAAAACAAAACCACAAATATATGACGGCTCGGATGATTTGGAGGAATATTTGACCCAATTTAATTTATTGGCAGAACTAAATGTTTGGGACCCTAAGACTAAAGTCTTACTTTTGGCAAGTAGTTTATCTGGAAGTGCTCGGGCTATATTAAATGAAATAACAGACGAGAGACAACACAATTTTGAGTGTTTGGTAAATGCTATGAAAAGTCGGTTCGGTTCAATAAATAGATCAGAAGTCTTTAGGGCTGAGTTGCAAACAAGGGTTAGATTGAGAAATGAAACACTGCCAGAGCTTGCTCAAGCTATACACGTAGGGCTTACCCGGGAACTACGTCTCTAGTTAGGGACACCTTGGCCCTAGATTACTTCATTGATGCAATTCCCGAAACTGATATACGTCTCCGATTGAGAGAGGTCGGACCAAAAACAATTTGAGAGGCAGAAAATATTGCCGCTCGACTAGAAGCTCTGAGGTTGGCAGATAAGCAAAAGGGGAGGCCAATAAGAACGGTTGATGTGGTCGATTCTAAGGATGACAGTTTACAATCTGACCTGAGAGAGTTATAAAAGAACGGGGTAAAAACATTGCAAAATGAAGTTAGCTTTATTAAAAGAAATAGCAATGGTCAGCAATTCAAAGGGTGAAATTTTCATAGAAATAACAATGGTCAGCAATTCAGAGGGGGGAATTATCAAAGAAATAACAATAATAGTTTTGAACGTTCCCAAAATCAGAGAAATCAAAACAATTGTAATTTCGAAAACCAGCAAACTCAATATAATAGGACTCAAAATGAAAATTTT